GTCATTCAGTGAAACAGAGCACTTTCAAGCATTCTTGGTGAAAAGACCAGAGCTGAATAGAAAATTTAACTTTCAAATACAGAACTCAAGTGGAACATGAAGAGGTAAACAGGAAAGAGAAATCATAAGAGACTTATTAAGATTGAACTGTTTACATTCCTGCATGGAAAGATGATATTTATAACTCATGAGACCTTTGTCAGTATTAGGGTAGTTGGAGGAAAAAAATTATATGTATGTATATATGTAGATAGATAGAGGGCACAGGGTGAGTTGAAGATTAAGGGTCATATCTGGAGAATAAAATTAAGGGATGAGAGAGGATTATACTCAGAGAAGAAGAAAGGGAGAGTAGAATGGGGTAAATTATCTCACAAAAAAAACAGAAAAGTCTTACAGTAGGGGAAATGGGGAAGGTGAGAGGGAATGAGTGAATCTTATTCTCGTAGGATTTGGCTTAAGGAGGGAATATACACATTCAATTGGGTATAATCTGTCTTACCCTACAGAAAATAGAGGGGAGAAGGGGACAAGAGAGCAGGGGGATGATGGAGGAGGGCAGATTGGGAAAGGGTGTAATCAGAAGTAAATACTTCTGAGGAGGGACAGGGTCAAAGGAAAGAATAGAATAAATGGGAGGGCAGGATAGGATTAAGGGAAATAGAGTTAGTTTTTCACAACATGTCTACTATGTTTGTGTTTTGCATAACTGCACATGTACAACCTATTTTGAGTTGCTTGCGTTTTCAATGAGGGTGGGTGGGGAGGGAGGAAGAGAGAAAATTTGAAACCTAAAGTTTTAAAAACATGTTTAAAAAAATGTTTTCACATGCTACTGGGAAATAAAAAATACAGGAAATAGGGTACAGAAGTCTATCCTGCCCTACAGGAAAATAGAAGGGGAAGGGGATAAGAGAAGGGGAGAGAGATAGGAGAGGACAGAGTAGGGGAAGGGATATTCAGAATGTATGTTTTCTTGGAGTGAGGGGAGGGGGGAGATGGGGTGAAAATTTGGAACTCAAAAACTTGGGGAAGTGAATGTTGAAAACTAAAAATAAATAAATGTATATTTTTTAAAATTGGAGGTTTGAAGATTTAAAAAAGTTGGGAAGATTTGCATGAACTGATGCAGAGTGAAAAAAGCAAAACCAAAAGGAACAGAGTACACAATGGTAAGAGCAGTGTCAGTGAAAAGATCACTAAGAGAAAGCCAAACTCAGAATAATTGAAAAACAGTAATGGTACCAGAGAACAGATAAGGAACCATACAACCCTTCACATGGCAAAGAAGTAGATACTACTACAACAGAATATTATTTACGTTGTCAGAGATATTCACCATAAGGTGCTTTGCTCAATTTTTTTCTTTATTAAAAAAAAGATTCAGTATGGTGGTGGGGTTGGGGGCAGTAATGAGCAAAGAGGAAAGATTTCCAAAAATTACCTATGTAAAAACAAAGCATTGAAAAACCTTTTTTTTTTCTTTTTAAATAAAGGAATGGTAACATTTGCTCATTTGATTCCACAGCTATTTAAGAGTGTTGTGAGCTATATGACCTGATGAAGATCAGGCAAAGGGGGAGACCAATTTAATATGATAAAACCTTGATTAACCAGAGCTCCATATAGCATCTTTACATAGTATGTACTCAGTAAACCCCTCCCCTCCCCCAAAATGCATGTACTTTTATGCTGGTTGGGGCATTGTGGTAGAGTGGAAAGAGTGTTAGATTTGCAGCTAGAATATCTGGGTTTAAGTTCTGGCTCTGCTGCTTACTACTTGTATGACCCTGGGTAAGTCCCATTATCTGTACAATAATGAGTTGGACTAAAATGACCCTTTGTAATTATAAACCTTCTATCTAATAACTAAAATTTCCTGTCTGTATGCAGACTTCAGGGAAAAGAGGCAAAAATTATTAACAAGTGTTTATTTTAAAAAGCGATATTCAGAACTTGATCTCAGTTTAGTAAACGTTCAGTACAATCTCCTGTATGTTCTACATGTGTACTCCTATATCTTCTACATTCTACTAATGCATAATTAGTGAGGTAGCTCTGTGCATAGAGCACTGGGCGAGAAGTTAAGAAGACCTGAGTTTAAATGTGGTTTCAGACACTAGCTGTGTGAGTCTATGCAAGTCACCCACATCCCAGGGTTGTCATGAGAATAAAATGAAATAATACTTTAAAAGTGCTTTGCAAACAAGAAAGCACTATATAAATGCTAACTATTAGAATGCAGCTGCTGAGGCTTTGAAGATTGTGAATCACAGATTTAAGTTGTTTTCATCATACTTAGTAAGGGTTAAGTGATATGAAAACATGTTGGAAAATGTTATAGAAACAAGAGTTATGCTGCTGAAGGCCTCACCCCTACTTACCTAAAAAATACAGTAAATTATACATACTTTTCTTCAGTATCTCAGTAAGTTGAGGTGAGGTATTATTGTTTTCCTTTTGGTGTGCTTTCTGCTTATTTTCTGTTGCACCACTCTAGTGCAGGCTCTTATTACCTTACTCCTTGATTACTACAATAGCTACTGGTGAGTCTGCGTGCCTCAGGTCTCTCCTTACTTCAGTTCATTCTCCATTAAGCCGCTAAAGTGATTTTCTTAACACTTAGATATGATCCTGTGTCCATCCCATTCTCCCCCACCTCAGTCTGTATTCAGTAAACTCTAGTTACTTCTTGTTGCCTCCAGGATCAAATGCAAAATGCTCTGGCTTTCAAAGCCTTCATAACCTAGCCCCTCCTACCTTACCAGTCTTCTTTCACCTTTCTCCCCACATACTCTTTGATCCAGTGATAATGGCCTCCTGACTGTTTGATGACCAAGACACTCCATCTCTAAGCTCTAGGCATTTTCTCTGGCTATCCCCCATGCCTGGAATGCTCTCCCTCCTCTGTTCGAACTGCTGACCTCCCTGGCTTCCTTTAAGTCCCAGTTAAAATCTCACCTTCTACAGGAAGCCTTCCCTAACCCCTCTTAATTCCAGTGGTTTTACTCTTTTAAATATTTCTATTTTTCCTGTATGTAGCTTGTTTTGTATGTATTTGTTTGCATGTTGTCTCCCCTTTTAGATTGTAAGCTCCTTGAGGATTGTTGTTTAGTTGTTTTTCAGTTGTGTCTGCCAGCTCTTTGTGACCCTTTTTTGGAGGTTTTCTTGGCAAAGATACTGGAGTGGTTTGCCATTTCCTTCTCCAGCTCCTTTTAAAGATGAGGAAACTGAGGCAAACAGGATTAAGTAACTTGCCCAGGGTCACACAGGTAGTAAGGCCAGATTTGAACTGAGGTCTGTCCTGACTCCAGGCCCAGTGCTCTATCCACTGTGCCACCTCACTGCTTTGAGGATATCCTGTCCTTGAGGAGAGGGATTGTCTTTTACCTCTTTTTATATCCCCAATTCTTAGCACAGTGCCTGGGACATAGTAGGTGCTTAATAAATGTTAATCAAATTGAGTTGAAATTGGGCTTGTGAAGGAATTTCAAGCAAATTTTTTGTTTGTAGATTCTTGTCTCCATTCTCCCCACCCCCCACCCCCACCCTTGCTTAATCTGGTGCTGGGATAAATGATCATAAGTGTTAAGCATGAAATACTAAAAAGAGAAAGAAGTATAATCCACAGAATATCCACATAGCTGGCCCAAGCTCTTCGTTGCAGATTGAACTGGTGAAGTTATTCATTTGAAGGACATATGAGTACAGACAGCAGTGGGCGAGAACAGGATGAGCCAAAGACTATGTACATACAGGAGGATCTTTAAGACTGTTCCTAAGTAGTCTGTACTACCATGCTAAGTTGAGAGAAAATGAATCTTAAAACTCTTTTAGTCTTTCCACCAAAATTCTTTGGAAGGTACTGATTATAGTGTTAGAACTCTTTGGTACTTCCTGTAATTCCACTGTTTTGTAGTTAGTTTTCTAGGAGGAGTTTGGGGACCAGGGCAGGCAAGCAGTGGTTTCTTGTTTATAATTGTGTAGCTTTTTGCCTTCATCTTAGGATAGATAGTACATTATAGCTGAAAATTATCTGTTGAAAAGGGAATCTTTTAAAAATTAAAATAAATTCCTCAATAGATGTATTTATTGTCAGAGAACATGAACAGCTTTCTAAGGAAGCTCCAAACCACTAGTGATTAAAGAAAACCAGATTAAAACAGCTCTGAGGTTCCACCTTATGTCCATCAGATTGGCAGAGATGACAAAAGAAGAAAGTGACAGATGTTGGAGGGGCTTACTGGAAAACAGTCATAGTAGTGTGCTGTTAGTGGTGCTACGAATTGAGCCAGCTATTTTGGAAAATAATTTGGAACTATACCCAAAATATTATAGAACGGTGCATGGCTTTTGGCCCAGTTATACCTCTATTTAGGCTCATAACCCAAAGAGATCTAAGAAAAAGGAAATTGGAAAGTAAGAGAGTATTCTGTTGGGAAAGAGCTAAAGATATATGTATGGTATATGAAGGTAATAGAATATTATTATACCATATGAAATGGTGAAATTAACAGTTTCATAGGAAACTGATAAGATGTGTATTAACTAAGGCAGAGTAAAGTGAGCAGAACCAGTAGAACAGTTTATATGACAAGAGCCTTATGCAGGAAGAAAAAATTCTGAAAGACAGAATACTGATCAGTGCAGTAATAAACCATGGGTTTAGAGGATTAAAGATGAAATGTGCCACCATAGAGGCGTTGGACTTAAAATGCAGAATAAGGCATGTTTTTGGATGTGGCCAATGTGGGAAATTTGTTTTGGTTGACTTTGCATATTTTTTTTAGGGTTTAATTTTCATCTGTTGTTCAGTTGGAGGTAATGGGAGGAAGAGATAATAAATATTTATAGTTTTAAAATAAGAATGACTTGCAGTGTTTTTTTTGAAACCTCTATAGTTCTCAAGAGACAACATCTTTGGAATTGCTACAGTTCTATAATATGTCTTCCAACTTTTTTGAGCTTTGCTTATATTTATATTTTCTTTTTTTCTTTAGAATTTCCAGATGATATCAATCCTCTTACAAAGGAAAAGGGTGGTCCCAAAGGCCCTGAACCTACTCGATATGGAGATTGGGAACGAAAAGGACGTTGTGTGGATTTTTAGTGGTCCGACTCTTGAGAAACTGGTCTCTTCTTCTGAATGTAGTATATTTAAGTTCTGCGTGTTTATATTCCTTTTTTTTTTAAACTAAAAAGTCATCAGTCCAGAAAAGATGTAAGTTTGGAAGTATTTCTGCATTAGCACATTTGTTATTACAGATTTATTAATAAAGAGATATGTTCAGGACTGCCTATTAATTTATCAGTTAAATTAAAATTGCTTATATAATAAGTTCTGTAATTTAGTTTTTTTGGGGGGTTAAAGTGGTTCATGGTTTGAAAAGGTTTTACTGGAACATAAAATGTCATGAACCCCCAGATATACATTTGTGGGTCTAGTCTTTTGTCTTCCTAGCTGAAAGCTGTGGAAACAAGTACTTGAAGTACCATAATTGAGATCTTAAGAAATAATTATATTATTTATGCAAAATAATCCATTTCAGCTCCACTAATTGAGAATTTGTGATAATTTGAACAAGTAAATTAGTAAAGTAAATGACTACCATGCTGTTATTATCTGCAAAGAAAGGTTTTGCCAAGTAGATAATAGCATAACCAGCATTTCAGTTAAGCAAGTGCTTATTGAATACCTTCTCTATACCTAACACTGTGCTACATTGGAGGAGAGGGAAATAACAGAAGGAAAAAGAGGCAGAGACCTGCCCTTTAGGAGCTTATGGTATACTTGGGGAAATAATGGTATAGTTTTCCAGATTGTGGGTTGGACCACATTGGTAGGAGACAAGTCTTCTGTCTGTGGGGTCAGGAAAGTTTGAAGCAGTGACTAAAATTATTGGATATTTTAAAATATAATTCTTGGATAAATACATCCTTTTATTTAATTGGAGGCAATGTTCAAGTCAAAATGGATATGTGAAACTAGCATCATCTTGACAATTGGTGAGGTGGCAGAAAGGGAGGATACAGTTGTAAGCTGAAGGCAGTGTGCCCCAGAATAGGTGGCATGCCAGGGAATAGGTGGATTACATGGAGAAAGGACCTGGTCCTTAACACCAGAGGGAGGGTTTGGGTACTTTTATCTCCCAAAGCTGCTTAAATGCTCCCTACCAGCCCTTCCTTATGTCAGGTGAGACTGGAGGAGGCCAGTTAATTGGCATTTGGACCATAAGCACAGCCCTTCCCTCTGGTAGAGAGGTGTAACCTTTGGCAATGAATTCAATTCATTGATTATTTTATATTTTGTGTTACTATTACTTTATGTGTAAATTTTGTTTTTTGTTATAAAATTATGATGAATATTTAATTTTACTTGAATAAAATGCAAGCTAAGAAAAATTTTTGTGTAGATTGTTTTGTGAAAAAGGGCAGCATATATATAAAAAGCAACACTCCACTTTAAAAAAATACCCATACTTATATACATATACATATATATATATATATATATATACACACACATACACACACACACATATATATATATATATACACACATACATATGTGGGGTGTAGAGTGTGTTTAGGGAAGACTAGTTACTCAGGTGTGAAGGCTGCTGAGCCTTTTCAGGGCTGCTTTCCACCCTTGGTTTCAACCTGTTCCACCTAACTCTTACCTGTGGCTCCAAGCAGCTATAACATGCACAGTAGCCACACCCCAGTAAACCATTTTGGCAGACGGGCTAAGCCAGGTCGAGGGTAACCAAGGGGTCTCAAACCCATTGGTGAGTTGGGGAGGATGTCTGCCTTAAACATGTGAAGACTTCACCTGGTGGAATGGGTGGATGAGAACAGTTTGTTCCAACGGCCATAAAGGCAGCTGGAGCAGGCACTATGGAGTGCTTCAAGCTTGGTTATTAGATAGACATTGAAGACACCAAGATCATCCAGTGCAACTTGAGCCATCGCCAGTCATCTTGATTCTGTCCTGCCACTGGACTGTGATGACTCTGAAGGAGAGAGTGAGACGAACAACTTTGTGCAACTCTGCCTCACTTAAATCCAATTTACACACGAATCAAAGGATCACCCATACCATTTTATATACATATGTATATATATGAAATTTGGAAATTATTGCCCTGGAGAGTAGCCGATACAACATTGGAAGAATATCATTAAAGACGAAGAGTAAAAAACAGGAGACAATCTGCAAAAAGAAAACCTGCAAAATCATGACCTCAGTTCTATAAACAAATATAATTTGACTTCAGGGAATCACAGAGATGTTGTGGGATGGAACTTAGGACAAGAATATGTCTCTAGGAACATGACAACATGGCATGAACTTGAAAAGGGATGTTGGAAATTTTGTGAACCGCAGTGGGGATGCATAATGAAGATTAATGGAAGAAGAAACACGATGTCATTGAAGTATATTATAAATCACAAACTTGACATGGAGTGATGATACAGTAATAATTAAGAACTTAATGGAGCAGCTAGGTGGTGCAGTGGAGGACCTGAGTTCAAATTGGGCCTCAGACACATGACACTAGCTGTGGGACCCTGGCCAAGTCATTTAACCCCCATTGCCCAAAAACAAAACAAAACAAAAAGAACTTAAAATGCATAGACATTTTCAGGACTAAGAAATCAGAGTTGCTGATAAATTCTTGACTTGTCTTAGTGAATGCATTCTCGAAGGGATATAGGAAGCAACAGAGGATGCTACTATTCTGGATTTGATTTATACCCAGTGAGTATTGATTGTTACACTAAAAATGATGGGAAAGTCTCGAAGGGATTCAAGAATTTTATCTTGGTGCTCCAAAAGAAAGGAAGAAACTACAAATGTTCAATGGACATCATAGATTTGAGAGGAGTGGTTCCATAGAGTTTAGAGAATGGGTGGTTAAGATCCTTCGGCCCAAAGAAAGTTGAGAAGCTTTCAGAAGCAATTCTAATGGCACAAGTGATTCTGATGAGAAGGGACAAACTGTCTGAAGACATCAAAGTAGTTGCCCTTGGAATTCATGAACCAGCTTAGATTTTAGATACATGTTTTGAAGAAGAAAGCAAAGACAAGGAACTGAATATAAGTATTAAAAAATGGCACCACCTTTCCTGAAAAAAAATCAATCCCAACTCAGAAGGAATTAAAACTAGTAATTAATATTAAGGACTACAAAAAGAGTTTGTTTATTTTTTAAATGAAAAGAAGATTATTTTTTTAAAGGGAGTAGGACCACTGTTTAATGTGGACTAATTAATTAATAATCAGATTGGTCAGTATCTCTCTTGTTAACCAAAGACAAAACCATAGAGATCTTGAATACTTAAATATTTTTGGAAAAGGAGGTTCCCCTGACAAGTAAAAGTCAACCCTGATTAATGAACAGTTAATGAAGGAGTGGACATGTTAATGAGGAAGTGGGCTAAAAGTCTTCAGCTCCTCCTGCTGAGAACATGGCTTGATTGTGAGACTTGGCCACCATCAGCAATCTGGACAAAGGAATCCATCTCTACTTAGACCATTATGGTTAGTTTTCTTCTTAAGTTGGGTTCCCCTAGACCCTAATGGAGGGGTATGGTGACATGGGCTTATTTCCTAAGGACAACAATCCACACAAATAATCCACATGTTTGTAAGGTCTTCTAGTTGGGTGGAGTCCCGCCCCAGATTGCAGAGCATGTATCCAGAGGATTTGGGCAATCTTATATATCAGCAATGTCCTTCAGAGACTGACTGACTGGCCTTCTGGGACTGGACCCTGAATGAGGAAATAGAAAGGAAAAATCTCAATCCTAATTTAATAATTGGTTATTAATATAATAGAAACATAATCACTTCCCTCAAAACTTTGGGTTGTCATTTAACCACTTCTGAATCCATTTAACTTTGCTATCATCTAGCTTACATCTTTTCGTCTTCACAAAGATTTTTGTCAAATGCTTTACTGAAACCTTGGTATACAAATGGGTGTAATCATACTCTTGTCTGGTTACCCAGCTAAACAAAGAAATGCAGTTAATCTGGTAGGACCTGTTTTTGATGAAACTATACTATTTTTGCTAACCACCACTTCCTTTTCTCCACGTCTTCAAACTATCTCTTTAACATGTTCCAGAATTCTGTCAGAAATTTAAATCAACTTTACTTGCTTTTGCTTGTAAATGCTTTCCTCTTCCCTTTTTTTGAAAATTGATTAATTTGCCCTTCTTGAGTCCTTCTGCAGTACTCATCTTTCAAGGATTTCTAACGAATTACATTCTAGTTCAGAACAAAAAATTTTGTAAGAAAAAAGATCAATTACCTCTATCAGTTCTTTCAATATTCTGGGATGTAATTTTAATAGGTCTAGTAATTTGGATTTGATGAAGGTAGTTAGGGCACTTTCAATATGTCCTCATTTATCCTGGGTTTCAATTGACAGCCATTTTTGTTCTATCCTTTCTAAAGCAGAGAAAAAGAAAAAATGAAGTAACTATCTTATTTTCATCATGTTATCGCTGTCCAGTCTATGTTGAACAATGGTTCTTCTCCTTTTAAAAAAGCATAGACAGGCACTTCAATAGAAACTTCAATTGATTATTAATTACCCAGAACTCTGTCTCTCAGCTTTTAATTGGTCTCAGTTTAGTCATTATTGGAAGAATACTATTAAATTGAAGTTTCTATTGAAGTGTCTGTCCATCATTGGCCATGCATTAGTAAACATTTTTATCCAAAAATTTTATGAAGCTATAAATGTCATGCTTATATGAAAAAAGATGGCTAGTACATGGGACAAAATATGCAAAAAATTATGGGACTCAAAGTTAGAAGGACAGTACACTTTGATTTTACATCTTTCATGGGCTACCATTTCTATGAAGATGACTCCCAAATTTATATATCTAGCCCTAATCTCTTCCCAGAATTTCTGTGCCACGTCACATCCACCTATATCTCCTGTAGGCATCTCAAACTCAACATGTCCAAAACAGAACTTATTATGTGCCTCTTGGAAACCCAATGTGACATAAAGAACTACCTCAAGTGCCATCTCCTTCAAGAGGCCTGTCTGATCTGCTCTTTGTTAATACCCCTCCCTCCGTTATATTTTTATCTTATATACATCCTGTATTTATCTGTGAACATGTTGTATCTTCTTAATAAATTATAAACTCCTTGAGAGTCACGACTGTCTCACTTTTGTCTTTTGTGTCCCTTGTGTCTGGCAGGCACTTAAATGTTTGCTAATGAGCTTTTTAAAAAAAGTCTCATTGATGCTTTTTTCAAAACATCTGTCATTTCCTAATTGCTCTTCCTCAGCCAAACAGAGCCTTCTCAACAACTAATTATCATTCCTCCAAAACCCACCCCCCTATTCTACACTTTCCTTTTTCTGTCAAAGTTGCCACCTTTTTCCAGTCTTAACCTCGGAGTAATCCTCAGTCTCCTCATCCTACATATCTAATCAGTTGTTAAATCTTTCTACCTCTACACTCACATCTGACCCTTTCTGTCTTCTTAAACAGCTACCATTTTAGTTCAGGCCTTCACTTTTTGCCTTGATTAGTATATCAGCCTCCTAATTGGTCTCTCTGCCTCATTACACATAATTCCAATCCATCTATACAGTTGCCCAACTGATTTTCCATAAATGCAAATCTGACCATGTCACTCTTTTACTCAAACTCCAGTGGCTCTCTATTTCTTCCAGGACAAAATATAAACTCTTCTTTTGTTTGGAAGGCCCTTGATTACTTGGCTCCAACCTATCTTTTCAACCTCTTTGCATGTTATTACCCTTCCTTCGCTCTCTGATCTAGCCAAAATGACCTGTTCCCCACACAACATTCCATTTATCTATGCTTTTGCTTTGGCTATCCCTCATACCTGGAATGCATCCTTTCTTCACCACTGCTTCATAGAATTCCTCTCTTCCTTCAGTATGCAGTTTAAGCAACACCTTCTATACCAAGGGCTCTTAACCTGGGTTCTGTGAATAATAACAGCAACAACTAACGTGTAGTGCTATTTACCAGGAACTGTGCTATGTGCTTTACAATTATTATCTCATTTGATTCTCACGAAAGCCTTGGCAGGTAGGTACTATTATTATCCCCATTTTGTAGATGAGGAGATTAAGGCAAACAGAGGTTAAGTGTCTTGCCCAGAATCACACAGCTAGTAAATGTCTGAGGCTGAATTTGAATTCAGATCTTGTGACTCCCAAGTCCATGATCTATCCTCTGTACCATTTAGCTGCCCAATGAACTTGTTTTATTGATATTTTTGTAATTGCATTTCAATATGATCAGTTTCCTTTTTTTTAAGTTTTATTGATATTTTGTTTCTACATTTCATTTACAGATTATTCTCACTTCCTGAAAGGTCTTTTGAAACAAAG